GCGCGACGCTGTAGCGCGACGCTGTAGCGCGACGCAGTAGCGCGACGCTGTAGCGCGACGCTGTAGCGCTACAAGTGTGAACGCTGCCTTAGAGACGCGAGTGGTGGGAAATGTACCCCCTCCCCAGTGCTGAGTAGCGCCGTTTTGTGACACAAATGGGCATCGCCAAACTCCTATTTAATACAATGGCCACTCTAAGTGAAAGTCATGGTAATTCTGCTGAGCTCGTCACATTTGCGAATGTTTAAATGTCGGCGAAATTATATTTTTGAGAAAAAGATGCGAAAAGAGGCGACCGTGAGCAGGTAGTGCGGACTTGCACCTAGTTAGTGGGGGAAGGAGCATAGGGAAGAGTAAACCAGTTCCTTGCTCAGAAGGTGATTTCCGTGTTTCTTGAGAAACAGCTCATATATCTCGAACTCACTGTACTGGTTTATCTCGCTTAATTCAGATACTATGACACCATGACTCAGATTACAGATATATTCTCGCAAATTTCAAAAGACTGCTAGCGTTTTATAGCTTCCATGCTTGCAGTACTTTACAAACTGTTAGGCCCAAAAATTGCGAAAGTTAACAACTTACCCCACTTCTCCTCGCGAACCATCAGCGGAAAGATAAACAGCAATACTCTACGCCGAAACGTATGAGCGCAAAGAGCATGTGATTCAGTTAAACAGATAAAGACTTGAGAGCCTCTCGAACTGGGTTCATACCCCGCGAACAACGAGGGACAAGAGAAATCAGTTAAATACTGGAACGTATTGGAGAGAGAGCGTCACTAGTTCGAAATGGATGGACACAGGGCTCGATTGGTAATGCACGTTCTCCCAAACGTGTTTACTCATCAAATCTTCAAGGTATACCGGGTCTAACGGATAGCTAAAAAGGACTTCCTTAGTAGTTGATTAATCGTTGAGAAGATGCACAATTGCAGATAAACAACAGCATTTGGCGCAGTTCGACTAGGTGGAGAGGGCGGGGCTGTAAAGTCCCTGCTGTTTCACTGTTGCGCGTTCACTGCTTTTACAAAACTCGAAAGTAGTTTCTATGAATTAGATTCTTGTCACTCATGCTTAACAAAATTTCAGAATTCTCAGTTTAATAATGACTCGACACGACAATGGGAGGTAGAGAAACTGTAAAAATGCACCCTTTCTAGCATGCGCTCTGATTATATATAAGAGAGAGCTTTAGTTCCCACCAGAGTTGTGATACTAAAGGCCGCCACCAGAAGCAGCAGAGCGCTGCTCGAGACGCCTACAAGACGCCGTGCTGAATCGGAACTCATGCGTAGACACAGCTGATCCAGCAGCCAACCCGAAAGAAGATTACCAAGTATCCTGAAAACTGTCAATGGGGTCTACCTGAAGGCAGCCTTTAGTTACTCGAGTAAACCTACCCTCCTATTTCGTAGGTCACTTGAAAAGTTGCAAGGCTGAGGCCATTTTCAGCCATGTAGAGAGGAATCCATGTCTCGCACACAGTTCGAACCTTCAAAACATTGGAAAGCACTGAACGAAAGGCTATTGGAAGGTACTAGGTTTCAAAAAACAACAGACAGAGACAAAAAAATATATAAAACAAGGCCAAGCATGTCATCACCGAACTAACTATGGTTGAGTTTTTCTAGTGTAAATCAGCACAGAAAAAAGCATGAATCCAAGGCCCTTGCGTCATAGGTCGCGACGCGTTTACACGTAGGAGTTAAAGGAAATCGCGTTTTGGGTAAATGCGCGTTTCAAAGAACGTTGAAGGGTAGTAGCCAGCGCTACCCACCCTTCGACGCGCGTTCTCCTGAAACGTCCATTCTCCGATTCTCCTCGAAACCGCGAGATCGCGGTTAGCCTATACATTCCTGGCTGTGCGCATACTCCGACTTCCGATTCTCTCGTACTCCAGTAGGCAAAGTATTAAACCGCAATTTCGCTTACAACTAGCGTGAGACAAAACATGCTGGGTGGATATCCCTGAGCAAAAGCGGACCAAATTTCCAAAAAAAGCTTAGAAGTAATAAAGGATGAAAACAAGTAAAATTGTTTATATAATCAGTCGTATATCAATAACAGCTAAGACAGCCATCCCACACCAACAAAATGCAATAAAATTAACAGTTACAGGGTTCAAACTTCACGATTACGCGCGACGACGCACCACTGCGACCATCGCAATGGCCAATGATATAGATGAGGTACCGAAATAGGCGGGTATCGATCGGCGCCGGCTGCTAATGTTCTGAGAGAGTATAGGAGAACAAGGAGGATGAGCTCTGCCTAATCTTACATCGTGGTGTAAACCTGTTCTTCTATACCTCCCAAAATGCTAGCGGGCGGCCGACGTCGATCGATATCCATCAAGGCATGCGTCCCACGCATAGTCTTTGAGCCAGGGCACATCGTTGTTGGGGAATCCCCAATAGGGGGTCGTATTTGGTCGCCAGGAGGGGGGTCGTATTTGGGCTGGAAAAATTTATTTTGATAGTTGATTTTTCTCGCTTCATGGACGTTGTAAAGGGGGGGGTCGTATTTGATCATTTTTGGGAGGGGGGGGGTGGTCGTATTTACGTTTTGGCGTTGTGGAAGTGGCGGTTGACTTTTGGTGATTTTCCTGTTTCACGTACTTTATGCCCTCCTCCGCTCAACAGCAAAATTTTTGGTAAAAAGTAGGGAACTTTTCGAGAAATTTTGGAAAAAGGGGGCAGGATGTTGGGGAAAAAATCTTATTGTAGAGGGGTAAGGGTCCTGTCAACTCCCAAAAAACAGGGGGGGGGGGCGTACAGAGCCGACTAAAATCCCCAACCAATGATATGCCCTGATTAGAGCGCCACTGAAATGGTAGGACAGCGTACAGCGATGACGCACGCCGTAGCGTCTCATCGCGAAGTCTGAACGCTGCCTTACTGCCGTTGAACGATAGCTTGAATTTTCCGTCAGCAGTTAGAAACATATGAAGGGATATACAAACCTCCATGGAAAATAGGTACACTGCAGCTACACTCCAAATCACAGGTGAATAAGTGAGCGATAACAAGGACGGTGAGGAGTCCTTGCTCTTCACTTTGTTTTGTGGCATGATATCGTCATTCGCCGCACGTGTAGTAAAAATAAAGCGCCAAAATGTAGGTGAGGGCCTAACAGAAGAGAACTTGAAAACTTCTTCAAACAAAATAACCCGGGTATTTAAATGAGAGCTTCTGAGAAAAAAGATAATCTCATAGAAACACTCCTACCAAAATACTTTAGAAGCATACGCCAGTAAGAATACTCTACAAATGGCATCAATAATCCAGCTACTGTGCTGCCACATCCAAGTATGGAGAACATCTTTGCGTAATGAGCGAATATTATACACTAAATTCAAAGAAGTTTACTTTTATTGTGCTGAATTGCGGAACCCCCGAAAAAAAACCCCACACCCCGAAAAACTTTTGGGCCCAGTGAGTTGGTTGGCTGCGTCCCATGCTGCGCCCTGAAAACTGCCTAATGCTCACCACAGATAAGAGAATTAGATGGAAGGAGGAGGCGAATCCTATAAAAAAAGCCAATTTTCTCGGGATGCCAAAGGAGAGTTGGTCGGTAAAGAAATCTGAAATGTGTCGAAAATTTCGCTGTAAATGAAGTGAATGCTCCGCTCTGTCCTACTTGATTATACGTTTTTTGAAACGCGCTCGTGATCCTAGGCTGTATCCAAAAATTTACAATTTTTTTTCTCAAAAATTTTGCCGTCGAGTGGAGGCGGGGCTCGACTGTGCTGCCATTTGGGGAGGAGAATGGATGTATAGACACATGATAAACGTGAAAAACCGCGAAAACTAAACAACCGGAAAAAGTTTCCTCACAACAGGATACGGCCCCTCGCACTCAAAACGACGAGCAAATATGCCCCCTAAAATTGTAGGCCAACTACCCTTCCACCAATCAAATAGGACCACTACCGCCAGAGATCCCCTAGCGTGCGACGAGTCCTACTAAACATGTATGCAACCCTACAGTATACAACAAAAACGCTCTATAACCAGAAAAGTTCCTTTATAAGGATTACAAATGTATACTTACCGAAGTAAACTGCAGTAACAGCGGACACGAATAAACCGAGCGATATAATCCTCACAGGCGAAATACGATCCGACGCTACTCCAAATACCAGTTTTGAGACTGTAAAACATAGAGCCTGAGCGGAGACCAAGGTACCTGAATACAAAAGGTTTTACTCCAAGCAGCGCACACTTCTTTTCTCCCTTTAATCGCTGTCTCTCTTATGGAACAAGGCTCTGAACAAAACCTTTGCCGACATTTTATTGATGTGAACTATGTACAACAACAGCAAAGTTTTCGGCATATTTCTATATCTAACATGGAGGACTCTATTAAAGACACTATCCACATTCATTGCTAACAAGGCAACATGTCTCTAACATACAATCTGCATCCTATTTCAGTGCGAGAAAATCTAATCGTAACGATTTCACATCGTCTTAACGCTGAATGGGAGAAGGACAAGACATTCGCAATGCCGCGTTGCCGCCCGCGGCATTGTCGAGCGACGATACAGGCAAACGCTCGCTGTTTGTCAGTCGACTGGAACAGCTCATATGAATTCAAGCGAAGACGAGATTCTACGACGGGTCATATCGAATTTCACCCTGTTTTCAAAGTCCAAACTGCCGCATGAAAACTCCTCCGTCCGGTGCGGCGTCGCTCGCAACGCCCGCCCGCGTGGCACATTTCGATTGTCATGTCACATACCCAAGCTAAATCTGTAACGCCGCTGAGAGAAGGCTTCCGGTAAGAAGTGATAAAGTGTGAGAAACTGAGCAACAAATACAGAGGGAAAAGTCATATTCGAAAAGAAATTAAAATAACAATAACAGTTTTCGCCTATTAAAATGTACACAACCAAATTGATCGAATTATTACTCAACTATACATACATATGTATAACCGTAAAGCAAAACCTGTGAAAAAGAGAAGACGAGAACGGTAAGAAAGACCTATTACGAACTATTCATCATCCTTCTTCTTGGCTCTCAATATATCACAAAACAACTCATAAAATAGGAAAGCACAGCCTGAATTCGCAGCAGCTTTGAGTTGGCTTGGCCAAAGTCCTTTGAATAGACCGTAAACGGACTCATTTCGGACGACCATCAACATCGTTCTGATCATACCAATACGGTAATCAGAGGTTTTGCCAAAGCCTCTTCGCTCGAACCCGTTCATTTGCAATCGATGTCGAATCATGTCGAGAGGGTACAAGACCTAAACGAGCAAATATACCTCGAACATTTCTGAGCAACCCAGCACATCAATATTTCGACGCTTACATAGGATGGGGGAACCATTCGCCAGCCCCGTGCATCCATTTATCTAATCAAGACTTAGGGTTAATGAAGACTATGACCCCTCTACAACTCTGGCTAGCTGCGCATTGAGCTTAAGCCCTCCTTGAGAATGGATACAGTGGTGCGGCAAAAAGGGTCAAGCCCCGAAACTAACCTAATAGAACCAAAGTGGATGAAGTGAAGGGGAGATATGCCACGCAACTCCCCCCTTCCCTCACTCGTTCTAGCGGTTGAAAGCAGCCTGGAGGCTGCGTTCCGATCCCCGAAGGAATAACCCGAATGAAGGGTCCACAGGACGGGGCCTCACTTTGCTGTATAAGCTTCATACCAAGATACCCCATCGTAAATAACTAGCCCCAACTCGACCATATTCACTGATTCCAGCACTTTGGGCTATATCAACCCACTGCTGGAAAGTCAAGGCACGCTGCATGTTAGGGCACCACAGGAAGGAGGGTCGTATTTGGTCGCTGAAGAGAAGGGTGAGGGAACGCACTCGCCTTTGTGAAAAATATTTCCGGTTATTTCGTCTGCGATACCGGGCGAAACGGATCATCTGTGTTTTGGAGTGTATTCCTTTTCCAACATTTGTTTTTCTTTTCTTCTAATTGTTAACTTTTATCGGTCTTTTCCTGTTAAGTGCACCAGCGCCATATATCCCCCTCTGTCCCCTATATGACGTATATGACGGTAGTTTCTTTTGGAGAAAAAAGCGGGGGAATTCTTGGAAGGAACCGGAAAAGTGGTAGAAGGCTGGGAAATTTCAAGAAGATAGTCGCACTGATGACAGAGGGGGTCGCAAAAGGGGATAAAATTCGGGGAATTATCGTACAAACAAACCTCCCCCAACGGCAGGCCGTTCCCTGTAGAAAGTATACAGCAAAGTGTACGCATTCGTGAATTCATGTACGTCAATATATCAGTTATAAATGACATGCGCGACCTACCGTCTTGGCAACGGTCCCAGCAAGGGCACCGCTCACGAGTGCACCTGTCGAATCATGATTCGCCACTATCCGAGGCCAAGTGTCCATGAAAAAATTGTAGAGAGCGAATTGGAGTCCAGTGAAAGGCGCAATTTGTGCTATGCTAGGTATCCATCCGCGGAAATAACCAACCACTCCATCTCTGTTCCATATTTGTATCATGGCATGAGTGGTCCCTGAAAATGTATGGCACTGAAATTTGGATTACTTCCAAACAGACCACCTGAAAAAGAGAATAGAATAGTTTGGACCTCTATATACTGCAGTCCCGGACTGAGCAACCAGCCTCGTTCTAATCACGTCCAGCGGCATGGCTGCTGTCATCGCCAGACAGCCTGATAAGCCACCACAAAAGAAGTCTGCTGACGATCTTAAGGAGGCCCTATTGGAAGGTAATCGGCAACCAACCTAAATTAACTCGTTCAATCAATTTGGACTTCGGTCAAGGCAACTTCAACTCACCTCTCTCGATAAAAACTCAAACGAAGAGAACTGAACTAATCCGTACATTGCTGACAATCCCTGGGCAGGAACATGACCCTTCCAAAATGAACGAACACCCTCTTCTCGAGTGATTAATCGCACTGATTGGAGGACACCCTGGAAGGCCGAGAACGTCATTCATTAGAAAAAAAACTAGGACAACAAAAAAAATGTGAATAGTCACATACCTTATATTTTCCTGAGTTCTGGCCTCGAATAGGCTCTTCTTGAAGTTGAAAGCGTATCTTCAACACATCCAAAGGCTGTATTATCATCCGAGTTGCAATACCACTCGCCAGTCCAGCCTCACTTCAACACTAACGAGAATTTTCACTTTTGAAATTAGATGTGAATAGACTCACATAGGAGTTCAGCTATATAAAAATTACAGGTATGTCAGCGAAAGCAGAAAATAAATATTTTTGGAACTTTTCTTAAGGAGAGGCTCTACACAAAACGAGCATTTCGGCTTTGGGGGGGGGGCATTTCGCACCTTCGCTACTTCCCACGTATTCATTGCTTTACAAGACCTGACGAAAAGCCTGAACATACTTTGGCTGGTACCACTTCATGACTTCACGAGATTCCACAGATTTCTACGTGGTGGCTCGACACGATGATGGGAAGTAGCGAAAGGGTAAATCCCCCCCCACGCCGAACTGCGTCCAAATGTATTACTTGACCATTAGAAGCCCGAATAGTCCTAAGTGAAGTTTCATCTGCGCGGGGCATACAATGGTCGTGATCATATGCACTACAGCTATTCTTGACGATGAAGCCTCTCGAAACCGACTAACAGTAAGTTTGAAGACAGCTCCACTTATACAATCCGGAGAGGTCTTTCCTCGTACTAGCAGTCTGACCCTCAGTCTCCAAGTTGGTCCCACTTTAACGGCTTCACAGGAAGTATACAAGGCGCTGCGGCTTTTTTAAGGGACAGTTTTGACGCCACCCTAGTTGCCCCGCCCACAAAACTCGCGGGCTATTTTCTTTTAGGATTGCAGTTTTGACGCCGCGTTTTCGTTGTTTTTCACTGTTA